GATCCATTCGAACGTCTGTTCAGTGTCAGTTTGTCAAGACCAAGAGGTTTTTCTTCTCTACCCTTGCTGTGGATCTCTGTAGCATCTCGAGTGGCTGTTTCCATAGCAACTGCTATGTCAACAGCTTTGGAAAAATTTAATTTTGACTCTGCAAGGAGACGTTTCTGAATTTGCTGGTTACTTAATCCACACACCAATCTGTCGTGCAAGGTTTCTTCCATGTTATTTCCAAAATTGCAATGTGTGTTTAATTTCTTTAACTCAGCTATATAACTTAAAATGCTCTCCCCTTCTTGCTGATTTCTCTTATAGAAACGAAACCGTTCGGCTATTTCTAGTGGTTTAGGATTTAAATGCTTCTGTAATGTACTTACTATTTCATCAAAGTTCTTGTCTGCAGGCTTTTCTGGCAAAAGTAAATCCTTTAATAATGAATACGTTTTGCTTCCAATCAAACTCAGCAGAGTTGGCACTTGATGATTGTCGTCGACATCGTTTGCAGCGAAAAATGTTGTACTCGTTCGACATACGTCTCCCAGCTTTCTTGGGTTTCATCAAAAACATCAATTTTTCCAATCGTCGTCATTTCTGGACTTATAACAATCCCAAATTCGTCGCCACTGTCGTGTATTTAGATTATACTTTTAACAAAATATGAATAATACATAAGCATGGCCGATCTACATATCTAATGCGCATGTCCGTGCTTATGACCGCTGTCCGTCTATATCTATATATCTAACACAACTCATCGAAGTCCATGGTCACATCGACCGTGACTTAGACCGTGGTAAACAAATTGACGTACTTTATTTAGACATGCCAAAGGCTTATGATAAAATAAGCCACGCAAAGCTGTTACATCGCCTTCGTGAATTCGGGTTTGGAGGAAGTATTCTCAAATCGTTGGGTTCATATCTGACAACCCATATGAACAAACGACCGTTCTTGGAGCAACGTCGAGGCCGCTTCCAATAACATCAGGAGTGCCACAGGAGTCCATCCTAGGTCCATTATTGTTCCTTCTATATGAGAATCATCTCTGCAACTCCGCGACCAATTGAAGGATTGCTATTTTCGTGGACGATACTAAGATCTTCAAGATCATCAATCCGATCACTGATGTGTGTGCTCTACAGAATAATCAGTCAAACTTCCAAGAAAGCTCAAGCAGTGTCAACCTCGAATTGAATAACACCAAATCACACCAAATGTAAAATCTTAATAGTCACTCAAAAGCACAATAAAATTACTTATTATTAGCATGACAAATTTACTGGATGCTAATTGGTTGAAAGGAGTACAATTATTTCATTAATTATTTATCTTCTGTAATCAGTGGCAAATACTGCAATTTCATTGGTTTACAGGAGTGCGATTTGAGCATTAATCGCACCTTTCCTGAGCTGTAATCGCACTCTTGTCTACAATCAATAAAAATCAGTCTAGTATTTACAACTAGCCAATCAGCATTCAGGATACAAACTTTGAATTTTATTTTCTTTGTTGCTGTAAAAAATTTCAAAATGGAGGAATTCACAAATTTTAAAAATTTTGACCTTTTAATTTTTAAATCAGCCCCCGAAAGCCGGCAAAGTTGAGGTCGGAAAAAATATAAAGGGGCTTCGGTGGCCAAGTGGTTAGCGCACTTGCCTTTCACCTCTGAGGCTGCAGGTTCGAGTCTCACTAAGTACCTTCTCAGTGCGACTCGAACCCAGTCCCCATGTGAAAAGAGTAAAAGTCAACGCTCTGCCGA